TTGTACCTTGGGGTTGCTAAGTTTGTTGTCACACATCTGTTAGCTTTCAACCTCCAAAACAGTTGGGTTTCTGAAAGAGGTAAAATTTAAATCATGTTTATTTATTTTTAAATATTTATTTATTTATGCATACAGAACTGGGGTGTAGGCCAGAGGTTCAGGGGTGGTGCGAGTATTCACCGGAGACAGAATGGGGAGCAGAACAGGTAGGTCAACAAGTACATTGCCTAGGGGAGCAGCAGGAGAGATCAGCTGCGCCATGTGGATCATCTCCAGGGCCAGGGATTGAACTCACACTCAAATGGCTGCCGCTAGCATGCAGTGCCGTGTCCTAACTTATTGCACCACCAGGGAGGGCTCTAAATCATGTTTAATATGACATTTTTTACTCAGAAATTATTACATCATGTGCTCTTGCAGCGCTATGTACTTTTCTTTGTCTTACAACTTGAGAAAGTTGCCCACAGTTTTTTTTTAATTAGATGATTTCATGTGCTAGGCTGATTCCCTTATTAGAGTGAATCTCTTCATGGGCAAGGCATGTATAAGGCATGTATCCTTTTTTTTGCCTATTCTATCAGCACAATTCCTAGCACTCTAGGTCCTGAGGTAACTGTTGACTTATTGGTTACCATTTTTGTAGGGAGCTGTTTATTTTCCTTAACGTTGGCTTGTACATAACCCATGGAAGATAAAAATAATGATAAAAATAATAGTATTGCTGAAGTACAGTGTAGATTTGAAAAGTGATTTTCTGACGTGAAATGTGGAAATGGCTGTTGGTTTTAAATTATGGGTCTAAAATCAGTCTCATTCTGTTTACACTCTATAAAATAATCATATTCCCATCTCTGACTCCTTACTTTGATTTATTTTTCTTCAAAGTAATGATTACTCCAGCCACTTATGTATTTAATGGGTTGTACCCCCTCTCCTCCATAATAACCCTTCCAAAGAGCATAAACTTGTATATTTTCTCCATTGCTGGTTTCTGAACACCCAGATGCATGCCTAACAATAATACATAGTGACATCATGAGTATTGGTTGTCCCCTTCCCCCCCTAGTAATTTTCTGTTAGGGTGTTCTAAGTGTGCACTCCTTCACTCCTGTGCCTTTTTACTGAAGAGTGCATTCCTTTTGTTTAAAGAAATGGTTGTATGGTCAAGTTTCAGTCTTAGCATTTTTCCTAATATTAATCTGATTTCAATTAGCATTTGCCTGAATCTGATTGGGTTGTTGCTAATTAGTTTGCTGCAGAATGTTAACACAACCAGAAATTATCAGTTGTACCTTTTGAGTTTATGTAAAAGCATATTAGTCATTTTGCTTGTGCTAGAAAAGCACCTTCTTTAATCACATGACTTTCTGGAGGTTTTATATGTGAAGTTACATTTGTCCTAACTACAGAGAAGTTTATTAATTTTTCTCTGTAGAAATATTGTGAATCGCATCCTTTCGGAAGGGAAGATCATTTAAGAACAGTATTGAAGCTGAAGAATAAATGTTGGCACTAATTCACTTAATATGTAGTTGGAGTCTATTCTGAAACAGATTAGTTTTAGGAGAGAAAGTTTTTACTTGAATACCATACCTTAAATTCAAAGTGAATTTTTTTTTTTTTGCTAAAAGTGTGGACCCTGCTTAGATAATAAAGGACTTGTTGGTTCTGAACTCTAAAGAAAAAAACCCAAGAGGCTGGATTATTTGCTAGTCTCTTGAATGACTGGACTAGTGTTGAGTAGGGTTCAGCTGCCCCAGACAGCTGCCAGAAGACTCTTAGAGTAGAGCCCCAACAGCTGGGTGTGACTGGCTGGCTCTCCATGCAGAGTGGGCTTGTTTGGAGGGCTTTGTAAATTTTTCTGATGGGTATGATTAGAAATAAACATTATATACGAAGGTTTCTGTGTTTGTTATCTGGTTGAAGGTGAAAAACACATTTTTCCCTCTTTTAATCCTGTAGTTTTTCTTGAAGAGATGGTTCTGAGAAAGCATATCATCAGCACAGAGTACTTTGTCCTTTCATCTTCCCCTCTTTCTTGAGTCTCTCATAGAATATGAAACTAACAGTTTTTAATAGCTTCTCAAAAATGCTAGGAAATGATCTAAACTACTAGAATTGCATAGTGTATTTTCCTTTACAGTACGAGTGGAATCTGAAACTGACTTAATGGTGTCACTTTTGATTTCTTTAAGAGGTGGTTTTGTCCTGCATATTAGTAAGGCAGGTTGTAAAAAAATCTGAGTAATTGTATTAGTTTTTTTTTTAATCTTTAAAAACATGAATTGTGTCTTGTTTAGGGTTTTTTTTTGTTTAATGTGTAACTTTAAAAAGTTTAATCTTTGATGCACTTAGAGGAAAGTAAGATTTAATGTCCAGATACTAGTTTTATGTACTTTTTTTCTGGGTATCTAAATGTTCTAATGACTAAGTGGCCATCTATGATTAAGTCTCTTACATTTCTGTCTGAAAAATCAAAGAATATGCACAAAGTATTTGGCACATGTAAAAGAAGTAAACCACATGCAGGTATATAATATAGATCCTGCCTTGAACATGAACCATTCCTTGTGCTCATGTGTGCTGTGGGTGATTTAGAGAGAAGCTGGACTTGGGGGATTGTTTTTATGGTTGTGCTACTTAACTGGCTAGGCATTTCCTTTCCCTGAGCATTGGTGATATAAACTGATCAAGGAAATGTTAATGGGATAACAGTTTTATTTCTTGATTTGTTTCACACTAGTTCAGTGTTCCCTCTTTTAAGGTGTCAGTTTAAATTTTCAAGTGTTTACAATCATTACATGTTCACTAATTCATGGCCAAGTTTCATTGTAATCTTACTAGGTCTTGAATAATCTGCTAAATGTGGAAATGTCTTTATTTTTAAATGATTTTAAAAATTATAAATGAAAATTATTTATGCTATGTAATAACATTCATTTCCTCAGAGTTTCGTTAAGCAATCACATGTCAGTGATTGTCACTTGGGTGCAGTTTTTACTCTCTACCTAACTGTTGGCGGGGTTAGCCTGGAGTGGGGTTTGTGTGTGTACACATGTAAAAGGTCCCCAGTGATCGTGATTGAGTCTGAGACAGGAAAGGTAGTGCAGAGATCAGAGTTGAAGTAGATAGTCAAGTAGTTCAATGCAGAGCTAGGGTGGATTCTATAAAAAATCAATGTCAAAGAGCCAGTGGATTGAAAAATCAAGCTGATGAGAGCACTGAAGTAGAAGGGTGTTTGCTGGCAGTGGGAGGTAGGTGGGAGTAAATCAGAAAGTAGCAGGAAACCAACTGAATTTGTGTTCTTCCTCCACACCTCAGAAGAGCTCCCAGGCAGTTATTGTACTAGGTAGGTTCTCTTGGGAAGGTAAGCCTATTCTCTACCTGCTTAAGTCTGTCTGTTCCTACTGCAGAATGTTAGGAATGTGAATGGATCTTTTCCAGTTGGTTAGCTAAGTTTTTTAAGAGTCACCTGGATGCTTGACAGTAATTTGTGAAATCCACAATTACTTAAAATGAAAGGTAATTCTTAGAGTGTCAACTACATTATATTAAACACTTTTCCTGGCATTTGGCCCTTCTGTTAACTACAGTAAATGGGGATGTTTTCTGCTATTTGTCAGTGTGCAATTTTCTTCTATCTTTGGGTTGACATGTTGATTTAAATGAAGAGTCAGGAAGATCTCCTGGTACGGAAATAGGAAAAACAGTAACGCTGAACAAATTCAGTTAAAAGATTTAGTAAGAAGGAAAAAATGCCCACTAACCCCTTAAGTGATAGTTTTCTGGTGACTTTAGATTCTGAAGTTCTTTTTGTGCCTCAGGGACATCATTGGGTGTTGCTCTGTGAACTCGTGAGGCTGTAGTCAGTTTACAGTGTGCATTTTTAGGATGTCAGTTCTGCAGATGTCTGCTGGACTTTTGAATAAAAATGCAGTTGAAATCTATGGCAGGATTATGCTTGAGATGTTAACTAACTTCACAACCCTGTCTGCTCTTGGGTTTGGTCTGATCATCTGCCATCTAAACAATGCATCTTAGTTTGGTAGAAACCTAAATGATCTTCGGAATTTTTCATGATCCCTCCTGCTTAGGAAATTGGAAAGGTCATAGGGAGAAACTTTGTTTCTCCATTAAAAAAAATACAAGATCAAAAAGCATTTTTTTAGTTAACTAGATTACTTACTTAGCTCATTCTAAATTATCACTAGTAGAAATGCTCTTTCACAGCAACAGTTTAAATTATGAACATTGATGGAGAATACTGGTACTAGTTAGGCTTTTCCAGTTGTCACATGAAAAAATTATTTGGAAGAAATATACTTTTAAAATCTAATTATTTGATAAATTATATCCAAAGAAAGCTAATTTTATAATGTTGAATCTCATTTAGGGGTAGTTGATTGTTTAAACTGAATTGATTTTTCTTTAAAATGTTAGGGATGCCCCAATTTTTGTGGCTAGGGAAATCTTATCACATCTGGTGTAAGAAATTGAGAATGCTTAGAAGGCTTTGGTCAGATGGTTTGTATATATTAGCAAAGGAGTTATAAGACAAATTATCAAGTCATAAGATTACTTCTAAAGGATTTCTTTTCTTTTTCATGTATTTAATCTCATTTTATATCTTGATTTATATTTGTTGGCATCTTGGTTTGTAATATTCATTGTATTTAAGAACAATTAATTTACAAAAATGCCTTCTTGGCGAATCATGTAGCGTCTCTTTATATATAGAGCAAGAACAGACAGGATTCTCTGGTACATTGGTCCTAAGGACTTCTTGTCTTAAGGTCAGAAGTGAGAGGAAAATTATCAAAAGACAGCTGTCCACCAAAAACTCTAGGTGTAGTGCTCCTGTATTTGCATCCCTTATTTTAGTAGGCTGCGATGGCCTTTATTTCACGCTTTTCTTGTTTCCCCTTAATGAGCAGGAAAGGAGACCATCTCAGGTCCAGGGCTATCATTTGATGTCTTGTGCTTTTTCATATGTATTACAGTTACGCTAAGAAAGAATCTGATCTTAATGGAGCCCATATCAAGCTTCGAGAATATGAGGCAGCATTGAATTCTAAAGATGCAGCTCTGGCTACTGCTCTTGGTGACAAAAAGAGTTTGGAGGGTGATTTGGAGGACCTGAAGGATCAGATTGCCCAGGTAAGCTCAGCTCTGCTCCTTAGTCATATTTGACATGTCAGGTGCCCCTTCTGTGATGATTGATTGCTGATTTTATACACATACGTGTGTGTGTATGTATATATGTAAATAATGTAGCTAACATGAAAAGCGTCGTCTTTACCCCTCTTCTTGTGTTTGCATTATGTAGCTCTAGTTGCTGTTCTGCTTCCTCTCTCTTGTGCCTGTGCTCCTTCCTGTTTCTTGCTCTCCCACCCTATATGGTAAATATATGTGACAAATATATATGGTGAATATTATATAGAAATTGATGTACTTGATTTGATTTAATCTACAGGTATCTTAAATTCATTGCTAAGTGATGGTTGTTTAACATTCATCAATTCTTTTTCCTTATGTTAGTTGGAAGCCTCCTTAGCTGCTGCCAAAAAGCAGTTAGCAGATGAAACTTTACTTAAGGTGGATTTGGAGAATCGTTGTCAGAGCCTCACCGAGGATTTGGAGTTTCGCAAAAATATGTATGAAGAGGTAATTATATGTAATTTTACCTTTTTTTAAGGAATGGAGGTATCACAGATGAGTAAGTTAGAACTATCTATACAAAAAAATTATAAAACCCTGCAGGTAAATTATTCAAAGGCTACATAAAATAATTACACAAATGCCATTTCATTCCATCTAAAATTATTCAGGCATGGCCACAGCAGCCAGTTACTCTCAACATATTAAAACACTGATATTAGTTATAATTTGCTGCTTAGCATATTATTCAAACACTTAGTAACTTAATACCACCGACTTATTTTCCAGTTTCTGAATGTTCAAGAATCTAAGAGCTCTTAACTGGATAGCTGTATCTCAGAGTCCTCATGAGGTTGCTGTTAAGCGTTCAGTCCATGGGCCAGAGAGACTGCTTTGGGCTCATTCATGAAACGGGGGGGCAAGAAGGGTCAGGGCCACGTGGGCTTCACCATAGGGCTGCTCATGACATGGCTCCCTCCAAGATGAGGGATGAGAGAGAGAAGAGCACAAGCAGGACAAGTCACAGCGTCTTCTGTAACCTGATCACTAGTGTGGTGTCACCGCCTACCATTACATAGACATGGCATGGGAGGGGAGTACACCTTAGGGGCCATCTTGACAGCTGGCTGCTACAACATGTATGGGTGTATCAGTATCCTTTTAAAATGTCATTTATAAGCTTTACCTAATGTCACCAAATTTGGGGTGGCTGCAGCAAGTTGGAGGAGGTGATAATATTGAAGGAAAACGTTGTGTTTCTTCAAAGTTAAGAGCATTACAATAAGCCCATTGTGGAGAGCTTACAGACACTTAATGTTTTTTAGAAGTAATATGATTTGAAAAGTGCCTTGATTTTTAAAAACAAGAATTTATTATAACAGTTGAAAAAGTAATTGGAGAAAAGAAACCCATTATAATGAAAAGTCTGGCCATTTTTATAACTACCTAGTGGCACAGTAGGTATTGTTTGAGATAAAGTGCACTCAGACTTTGAACAATTCTTGATTCATTTCTTACATGGAAATGAAACAGTGGTATCTGTCGTCTTTATAGAGTGGTGAGTACCTTGGTCAGTTACAGTATGTGAAAGTTCCTTGTAAACTCCAGTGCATGTGACCATAAAATCCTTTACCTCAGTTTTGATTTATAAAGGCTTCTTTATAAGTATTTTTACCTTATGTGTTGACTTATATTTCTGTTTTATTTTGTTAACATGGCTTGATTATCATGATTTGGTTTTGATGCTCTGTGTGCACTTCTGCATCTTTAAACCAGCAGTTGTTTTTGTTACTTGTAAGTCCTTGATTCTACATAAAATAACGTGAAAAGTGTCATTAGTAAAAAGCATAATAGTTTGAGTGGTGGCAGGTTAGAATTTTTGATTTTTGTTTTTGGAGAATGAATGCAAAATATTCCTTATTTCTTTTTTTACATAAAGATATAATTCCATTTACTAAATATACGTAAGTTCCTTACTATGTACAGATAAGTAGGAAAGCAGAATTAAAACAGGGAAGGGAAGAAGAGGGTCTAGGCAAAGGACAAAAGCATTGGTTAGGTATTCAACATTTGTTGAGCTAGACCTCCTATTTGTATGTTTTCACGATTTAAGAATACTCTTCGTTAGATAGATGTGAAATCTGGGAGGTTAATAGTAGAACTGGAATTCAAATACTGGTTTTCTGATTCTGTCAAGAGCATTTTCCTTCGCAAAAAAACTGAAATGCATGAGGTGAGAGGACAGAAACACCAACTTCCATGGGTTTTATCCCCCTCTGGTGGCTTCTTTAATTATTGCCCTTAAGGACATCTTGTATTTTCAGAGTGAGAAACTGGGATTGAGACTTCATTCTTTCAGTTCCTAGCCATGTTAGCCTTTGTGTTAAAACAAAGGGAATGGTCGTGCCTGTTATTTCTGTTGTTTTAATAGCAAATTGTCATATGTTTTTGGGTTTAAATACCACTGTTGTCTTTAACTTCATCTCAATCTTCTCATCCAAAATTAGTTTCTTCATGTTGTCTGACCCTGGACAGAGGCAGCTGTTGGGCAGAACTTCAGCTGGCCCTAGTCACTCAGACTTATACCAGTGCAGTTACTCAGACTTGGTTTTGTTATTTCCTCCCACCCTCAGGAGATTAATGAGACCAGGAGGAAGCATGAAACTCGCTTGGTAGAGGTGGATTCTGGGCGCCAGATTGAGTACGAGTACAAGCTGGCTCAGGCCCTTCATGAGATGAGAGAGCAGCACGATGCCCAAGTGAAACTGTACAAGGAAGAGCTGGAGCAGACGTACCACGCCAAGGTGAGCACCACCCGAAACCATCACCTGGCGACTGCTTTATTTATTTGTTGACTTATTCTGGCTTTCTAAAATGAATTCTCTTGAATATAGGAAGTGGATTTTTCTTTTCAACAAAATTAATGTTGGTAAAATTACTAGTAAACAGATGGGTTTGTTTTGTTTTTGTCCTGTTGAGCATTCATGTCATGTCACTCTCTTTAACCTAAATTACCTGGAAATACTTTTCTTCAAGTAGTCAATACTAATCATGCTGTCTTCTGTCTACATTTAATGGTAAATGCACATGACCAGCAGCTAACTCTGTTTTCCAGGCCCTCATTGTACATAGGTTGTAACCACTATACTTGGGGCTTTTTTGAACAAAGTCAAATGAGAAGTCTTTATATTTATTTCTCTGTTATATTGTTCATTTTTAAAGAGTTAGAAAATCCCCACTCATTAGCAGACCTTGCAGAATTTCATAAAATCACCAATATCTACTGGCTTTCCTACTAAGTGATCTTTTACCCCAGTGTGTTAAATATTATGTGATTTGAATCCATTTCATGAAGTAATGGGTGAAAGGGAGAGACCTTTTAAGCCATATTTGTAACTGCACAGAACTTATTTGATGTTAAGCATTGCGTTAGGAAGTGAAGGAGCTAAAGTAGCCTGGGGCCTCAAAGGGAGCCAGGAAAGAGATGGCAGTGTAAGATCGTGTACCTGAGATAGATCATCATGGGTACTAGGAGACAGGTATTGTTTTTATCTGAAGAGCTGAGTTTGCTTCTGACAGGAAGTATTTTCACTTGGTTTGAAATAATTATAAATTAGATTTATAAATTGCTTATTCTATATTGCTTTATATGCTGTAGTAGATTTAGTGGGATAGGGATATGTAATGTTTGTTTTCCTCTAAACATCGCCAGTCTCATTGCTGTTGTCCAGTCTTCTTAGTTATATTACCTGAGATATAGTGGAATATTGAAAAAATAAACTTTGTGTGAATGCCCAGGTATTAGCATTGTTAAAGTGCGCACATTGGGGATTAAGTTGGAAGGGTAGAAAGACTTTTAAGGGGCTCTCCTTGGTGGCACAGCGGGTTAAAGCACTACGCTAAGAGACTGAAGCCACTTCCGCATGAGTTCGATCCCCGCTTGCCCTGGAGGTGGTCCATATGGTGCTGCAGACCTCTCCTGGGGCGCCCGCTGCTCCCCTCAGCAGTGCACTTTTATCTATCTCCTGTTCTGCTCCCTGCTGTGTGTGGTGAACCCTTATGCCATCCCTGCACCTCTGGCCTGTACGCCGTTTCTGTGTGCATAAATAAATAAAATCTTTAAAAAAAAAAAAAAGAAAGACTTTTAAGGCAATTCGCACCACATCAGCCAACTTCATGAAGCTTTTCCTGTGTTTCGTCAACCAGTTACGAGAATGACTTTGGTTTGCAGTGAAACTCCTTGAGGTGAATTATGCTTCCTTATTTTTTCGTTCAAATTTATTAGTTAAGACTCATTATGGCTTGCTTCTTCATTTAGCTTGAGAATGCCAGACTGTCCTCAGAGATGACTACTTCTACTGTCAACAGTGCCAGAGAAGAGCTGATGGAAAGTCGGATGAGAATTGAGAACCTTTCATCTCAGCTTTCTAATCTACAGAAAGAGGTCAGTATGTGTCTTCCCCTAAGTCTTGGCTGAACTTGAAGACCACCTCTACCATGGGAGTCTACCCTTCACGCTGCACTTTCCCTTCTGTTTGCCAGCCAGGCTGGTGTTGTAAGCACTCTGATTTCACTGTGCTTCCAGATGTTTTCATTTTACAGTAGAGACATCCTCTGAGCCGTTACTACTAAGTTAATGGAGTACACAGCACTGAGGCAGTGATGCCCGAGGAAGTAAGCTCCTGCTTTGTTCTCTGGGCTAACACCTTCCAGGGTTTCTGACCCGTCCAGCAGCCTCATCCCCACATTGCTTTCTTCCAAGAGCACTCCTTTTTCCTATTTGGAAACCATAATGCAGAAAAACATGCAAAATTTTTCTGTGGGTGGTAAATGCTTTGTATTTCTAGATACATTCTCTTAATGTTCAAATTACTAGTAATTAGAGTCTTGGGAAAGAGCATTCAGTGAGTATTAGTTAAGGCTTTGGTTACTAACCCATTAACTTGTAAACGTAAGTAACAGACTCATCACTAGTAACTATTTTGATCTGGTGTTGGTTGATCTGTGATGGGGCTTTGGGTGCAGTTTAAAAAGGTGCCACGCCACTTGAAATTTATTTCGATTGTGGATGATGTTGATAAGCACACAGAGAACTTATACAACCATATAGGAAGTCAGAATGTCTTAATAATTACTTGAGGAGTACCTTTGACTTCTGTTTTCCTTATTGGAAAAGTTTGTTTTAAAGTGCCCACATTTAATCTTTAATCTTCTTATTTTTCTTTTTACTATTTCCAGTAAAGTTATTTTTTTCTAATTCCAAACGAAGGCATAATTTAGTTAACAAAGTAGATACTGGATTAGATAAAATAGGGTAAGGTTTAAAAAAACATAGAAGCTTTACATTGCTTAGCATGTATCTCTTGTGACTCACAATCTAAACATTAAATTGATTTTAGACCTATTTCATCCTGATAATATTTTGAAATTTTCATGTCACTTTACAGCTAGAAGGACTTGTGTTCACTTAGTGACCACAGATCTACTAGATGAGTTTAGTGATTTTCCCAGAGGCTGCAGGCTAATAAATGGGGTTCTCATCTAATTCCATTTCTCTCCTTCACACATCACTCCTGGAAGAATGTTTTCTTTCAGGAATTTAATAGATACTCCGTTTTTTTCCCCTTTGTATTATTTTACCAGTTAACTTTTTCAAGATAGACTTGTCTTTACTCTTCATTGAAATTTACTACCTAGCTCCATTTAGTAAATTAGATTCTAGTTATTAAATCTTTTAGGTTTTTATTTCTTTACCCTCTGGCTGCTGCTTAATCCACTTGGCTGAACTACCCATGTTTTAACAGGTGGGGAAACTGAGACAGGCCTGTGGTTAAATTGTAGTAGACGCCGAAACCAGCTCTACTGACTCAAGTTGGGGGCTTTTCACATTTGCCTGTTAGTTATATTCTTGTCCTTGGGATAGTTCTGTAGCCTCAGGCTAGTGGGCTTTAAATGATATAAAGCAGAGCCCTGGAGTTTTCTAGGGGCTCACTCCTTAGGAAATAGGAGAGGAGAAGCACCTTTTTTACCAGGTAGTTTTTCTTTTCTCTGAGGGGTGAGGGTCAGAGATCCTCCTATTCATTACTGGTATTACTTTAGTATAAATAGTGTGTTTTGAAGAGTGTTGTCATTAGTTGGTAAACCTTAGCTTTAGAAAGAACATTCTTTAAAAAGAAACTGAGTGTTTCCCATGGTGGCTCTTACTAGTTTTCATTGTTGAGTCACAGCAGTTTCATCATGCTGCCTTGTTGGGCCATTGAATTTCCTTTCTGTTGTATGAGTCATATTAGTAAAGTACTTCATAATTTTACTTAGAATTCACAATAGCCTTTAGAAATTGACTGGATTCAGAAACTAGTTTAAGGTAACATGGGTAATACCTGTGTTGTATTTTGAAATTAGGAATTGCACATATTGTTCACAGCAGCATTTTAATTTAGATTTTTTTGGCTTTGGCCAAATTAATTTTCTATAGTGGCACTTTAAAAGCAATTCTTTAGTTTTTATTTTTCTCACACCAAAACTCTAGAAACTTTCATTGAACCTAGATCATAACAACTGGTACAGTTATGATCTATTACAACCGAAACTTAAAAAAGGCAGACCATCAGTTGACAGTCATTACATGTAGAGGTGAGCTCTTTCAGATAATCTTGTTAGAGCTCTTTATTTTGCAAACATGGGCCCTGGTATAGTGAGGTTATTTGCTGCTGGCTAGGAATTTCATAGACTTAATGATAGAATTGGAAAGATTCTAGATATCTCTCCTATTGGGTTCTTTACATTTCACTACATAATAGGTAGAGTGCAGCTATTTAAAGTGCAATGTAAATGTTTCTGTTTCAAATACAAAGTAATTCAGGGTAACTGCAAAACTTACATACCTAAATTTTGATTTTTTTTCTCTCCTCTTTTGAACACTCTAATACGAAAGACAGATATTTTGAGGTTTACAAATCTTGTCTGAGAGGCTATTTATGAATTTTGGGTAGTTTATCTTGCCTCAACTCCTTTATTCCACCTTACTGTGCATTCTGTCCTCTCCCTCTACATGGTTAATAGTGAAGAAATGGATTGAAGAGGAGGCATTTTGAACTCAAAATACCTTTTTTCTTTGGGAAGAGATAAAAGAAGGCTTGTATACATGTAGTTACCCGAGGCCGAGATTATGTTAGTATATTACTCTCTAGAGGAACACCCACATGAGATTCAGCATGGAAAATGTTACCTTGGATTTTGATTAATGGACTTATTTTTAAAAAGCCTGTTTATTTTGACATAATTCTTGATTACAGAAACACTGGAAGATAGCAGAGGTAGTTCCCGTCTCCCTTAACCCAGTTTCTCCTGACCTGTAACATCTTCTGTTACCACAGACCTCTTTTAAACTGATACATGTTAACTAGGTTCCCTACTCTTGTCAGGTGTCCGTCACTTGTGTTTCTGTGCCATGGTGCCACGTCTCTACAGTTTTCTGGTCTGTGCCAGTTTCTCGGGCTTTCCTTGTCTTTTTTTATGACCATGGCTGTCTTAAGGGGAACTACTGGCCAGGTATCCTGCAGACAGGGCCCCTCTGAGCTTGTCTGGTGCCTTTTCTCATGGTCAGGCTGGTGTGGGTTGTCAGCGCCTCAGAGAGATAATGTTATTGGTAATGTAAACCTTTATCAGTTAAGGTAGTGTTTGCAGGCTTCTCCACTGTCAAATTACTAAGTTTTCCTTCCCATTTTCTGTTCTTGGAACTGGTCACTAAGTCCGGCCCACTTTCAAGGGTGAAGGCCAGGAATTAAGTTTCACATTCCAAAGGGGAGTGTTTACAATGAATAGTTGGAGTTTTGTTAAGATTTGTCTTCTCTTTACCTACATGTTTTTATATATTTTTTCATTTTATTTCAGAATGGACTTGTGGACATTTATACTTTGGGTTATCTAATCCAAGCACAGTATCACTTTAGTTGAGATTAGCCACTGTATCTTTCCTCTTTTGTGATTTATTTTTCATTCACTCTATTAAGATGCTCAGATCAGATCATATTTCTCCTACCATTTCTTGAAAACGCCGGAGAATGGTCTACACCGACATTTAGAACTGGGCACGGAGCGCTGCCCGGGCACTGGCTGTCTTGCTGACAGGGCCAGGTGACATGTGGCTGTGTGCTGGCCACTCTTGCACACGTCTGCTTTATTCACCTTCGGCTAACCATCTGCTCATTTGGACGTCTCTAAGCCTGTACCACAGGGTTTGTCTTTAGGCTTCTTTTTTTCTTACCTGCAACTTTCCTCTCTGTAAGAGCCTGCTTTCTACCATCCATTTACTTATTTGTTCAACTCCTGTGTACATGTAAATGCACACTGAATGAAAATTCAGTGTATAAAATGCAAAAAAAAAAATTAACCTGCACACTCTATGCAAAATACTGTTAACAGGAGTGGTGTGTCTTTTTCCCTAGTCTCCAAGATTGATATTTGCATAGTGGCTGCCCTTTCTCTGGCTCTGATGTAGCTACTTGTGATTGTTGGGAGGACTAAGTTACCTCTGTCTTCCTGAGTTGATTGTCAACTTTGATTACTAGGGCTACTGCAGATAGTTACCTAATGAGCCACAAAATTTTGACGTGAACTTCCAGGTGTGATTTCTCAGTTTGTTTCAAATGCCAAATACAGCTTCTGTGTTGACCAGAACATGCTGCAGCCTGCGCACCTCATTGTACTGCTGTGCGTGCTGCCCTCACAGAAAGCCAGAATGCCCCACCGCCTTTTTTGTTTCTGAGTGGGTTCAGGTGATTCTCCAACACAGATTTGCAACGCCCTTGGGTTTCTTTTGTTTGTGAGTTTTCTATCTTCTTAGTTATTTAGCTTTGTTATTATGTACTTTTGAACTAAAAGCCTCATGGGGAGTCAGACTTTAGAAAAAGTCAAGGAAAAACCAAGTCTGTGACAACCTAAAAAGGGTTTTATTTGCCCAAAGCCAGGAAAGTCGTGTGTATTGGTGATAACTTGTATTTCATGGATATCTCTTTCTTTGGTGGTTTATAAAAGAAAACTTTCCTCAAATAACAAAAAGATTTTTGTATTTAAGGGAGATGGTTTTTAGTATTTTAAAAGTCTCTTGACTTCTATTAGAGAGTTATTAAGATTCTCTTTGCTTTTCAATCTGGGAAATGGTTTAAAATAGTTGCCTGTGCTAATGTTGGAAAGTTCCTAGAGAGTAACTGTGTTTCCTTGAATCTGCAGTCAAGAGCATGGTTGGAAAGGGTTCAAGAGCTGGAGGACTTGCTTGCTAAAGAAAGAGACAACTCTCGGCGCATGCTGACTGACAAAGAGAGAGAGATGGCAGAAATAAGAGATCAGATGCAGCAACAGCTGAATGATTATGAACAACTGCTTGATGTCAAGTTAGCTCTGGACATGGAAATCAGTGCTTATAGGAAACTCTTAGAAGGCGAAGAAGAGAGGTAAGGGACTTAGATGTCGACTTAGATCACGGTCTGCCTTCTCTACCTTCCCCCCTTTCATTTAAAGAAAGTTAAGAAGGATTAAAAAAAGCATGCCAACTTTTTTCTCTCTGGTATGTCTCTTAACACTTAAGTGATAGGGTAGGTAGTAATAGATTGTATTTTACAAACAGGAAATTGGCCTAAATAGCCTTATTTTAAATGCTGATTATCACAATGGAGTCTATTCTTCGAGATTTTAAATATTTTGACAGCTTAATATTATGTAAAGACAACAGATTTCCTGGCACTTTATACTTAATTTTCAGATCTGGCTAGTGTGTAAATCCTTTTTAACACCTGTGCTCAGGAAAAAAAAAGTCTAAATGTAAAGTTGCTAATTTAGAATAAAAAGCCAGTCAATTTTAAATTATGTAAATTGTGATTATAATTTTGTAAAAGAAAAAACATGAAGCTATTAAGCATACTAAATTTAACAGTGCTTGTTGTAGAGTGGGGGGTAGAAGAATTCATTTTTTACCCTCTGTTTTCCAAACTGACTGCATTGTGGTTATATTTTCGTAAGGAAAACATTCAAATTACCTTAAATAAGAGAAAATTGATGGTTGGGCATCAGAGCATAAATAAATTCATCCTAGTTAGATATGCGGAATCTTAACAGATTGGCAGTTATGTTTTGCTTTGGAAATTCATGTGCATTGCAATATTCTTTCAAAGGCAGAAGGGCATACTATCTCATAAGTGAACTGTTTCATTTCTCCTGCATAGATTGAAGCTCTCGCCAAGCCCTTCTTCCCGTGTGACAGTTTCCCGAGCATCGTCAAGTCGCAGTGTGCGTACAACCAGGGGGAAGCGGAAGCGAGTTGATGTGGAAGAATCGGAGGCCAGCAGTAGTGTTAGCATCTCTCATTCTGCTTCAGCCACTGGGAACGTCTGCATTGAAGAGATAGATGTTGATGGGAAGTTTATCCGCTTGAAGAACACCTCTGAACAGGTTAAAAAAAGTCTTTTCCCCCACACAGTGACGCTTTGCTGATTGACCTTGAAAGATCTCTTCGACCTTTTTGGGTTCAGTGGTCCTCACAGAATCAGTCTCCCCCTTCATTTTTACCTGAATTCACCCAGGACTGAAGTAAAACTTGAACGAGAGGGTGCCCTTAGTGGTTCGAGATTTTCTGCATTCGCCTTCCTTTGCAGAAACAGTCTTTTGCTCAGACCTGGTTGTGTTGCCACAGTGGCCTTCTGAAGCATGAGTAATTATATTTTTACCTGCCCTAAGCGAGATTGTGGAAGAGTTGCTGTGGCCACCCACTGCTGTTATATGCAGGGAACATTTTTCTCTAAATGAATTCTAATGATTTCATTTATATCAAAGATAATGTGAAGCTCTATCTTGAAATTATTTCTTTAGAAATAAACAGGGAATAAATAGCCAGCCAGCACGGAATTCTGGAATTTCAAGATAGGGCTCTGAACAGCTCAGTAGTGAAGGTCCTCTTTGGCTGGGCAGCTTGGCACAGGATTCTGTGTAGAGATGAATGGGTGCTACAGGAAGAGGCAGGGTGGAGGTGTGGCGGGGTGCAGTGGGATCGATGCCATTTCTGAAGCCTCTGTTCATGGTTTGTCAGATGTTTGTGAAAATCACTCCTTTTCTCACCAGAGTTAAAAAACTATCCTGCATGTGGCTAAGTAATTTGGCTGGGTAAAGGAGCATAACAGATCTGACACTAAAGAACAGACTCTAAAGCCTCTTACTTATTCTAAAAGAGCTGAAGGAGACAGTAGTTGTAGTGGTGAGTGAGCTCATGGGTGGAGCTCTCCTAGACTTGGCTCTCAGCCTGTTTTATTCCTGCCTGAGTTAGAGAAGTGTATAAATTAGTGTAGCTAATTGCTTTAAAATCCTGCACCTTCCCTCAAATGTCAGGTAGCTCTGGACAGCTCAGGGGCTAGAATTGACAACTGTCCCCTAGGACTTGGCTCATTGCATCATTGATCCTCTTTGAGCCTCTGATGCTTGAAGTTAAAAGAGTTACGTGTAGGTAGAGATGGTCTAGGGGATAGAAGGAAAAGAACGTTTTCTTTCTCCTGTCTCTAAGTTTGTATGTCTGTATTTTAAAAGCTGAAAGTGGTTAAATAGTAGATGTTCATATTTTGATTAAGATAGCTTGTGTTGTAAATTTAAAAAGATGTTCCTGGGCTGTGGCTATCCACAGCAACTATATAGCACAAGTTCGATTTCCAGCCAGGGAGGTGACCCACGCCCCCAACCACAACCCTCTCCCCTCAGCAGTATACTTTGTCAGTCTGCCTATTCTGCTCCCCACTTTGTCTCTGGTGAAGCCTCTCACCCCCTAACCTCTGGCCTGTACCTAGTTCTTATATGCATAAATAAGTAAATCTTTAAAGAATATAAAAAGATGCACCTGATCTAGCAGTGACTACAACCACTTGATTTGGTGCATATTCCTTTTCTTTCATGCTTTATCCTCTTTAAGTACCTCAATAATTAACTGCAGTTTTTTCAAACTACCTTGATGAATAACAAAGCCCTATTCTCTTTTCATAGTAAGAAAATGAAAAGCATGGGAAGACAGCCATAGACTGTCCTAATTTAACTGCAGATTTTATAAAGTTTAACTTTATATATATTTAGTAATTTGATAATTTGGTGTAATTTTTTTTTTTTCTCTGTGAATAGGATCAACCAATGGGAGGGTGGGAGATGATCAGAAAAATAGGCGACACATCAGTCAGTTACAAATATACCTCAAGATATGTGCTGAAGGCAGGCCAGACTGTTACGGTAAGTGAATATACCCATCATTTAATTTACCTTCATTATGTTAAATAACAGCACAATTCAACAAAGCATTAGGCTTAAAGAGAAACAATTTAGCAAGGAACATTAAAACATAATTATGTTATTAAGGAATTACAAGTGCTATTAAAATTTTTAAAAATTCTGCAGGAGTGGTTATTGACTAGTAATTGATAGCTAGTGGTGGGCAGGGTGTGAACAAACACATCTGTATAACCTCCAAAGCAGCTACAATGATGTACACCAATTTTACTTCAAGAAATAAAATTGTGTGTATGTGGGGGAAATAGCAAAAATTGAAAAACTAACCTTTGAGTTTTTATTTGGCGTAGTAAACATAAAATAGTTGTTTCCTCATTGATGTTTGTAGCACAGTATATAAGTCAAGAGATTCGTGGCATTGAGATGTACTAGGAAAAGCTATTAACGCTAGAATATGCCTCAAAGTGACAAGATTTCAGTCTTGGGTGGACATGGAAATCATCTGGGCAGATTGAGGTGTCCAGGACCCAGTTACTCTCTCTTGTGTTGGGCTAGAGTTTGTGTTCTGAATAAAAGATGTTAGCTGCTAGATACTGTTAAAAAGAACCACTACTTAATGTATTAACAGTTTAGCAGAGGCAACATGTAGTTTGAGATTTTAGAGAGTATTTTGACTATATGTTGAGTTCTAAATGGTTCTCTTGGTGTGTTCTGAAGTAACTGTGTCTTGAAAAATTAATAAATAATATTAGTTCATTTTTTAGAGGAATACTTCATTGAACAAACACAAGATTCCTTTCCTGTGACTTAGTGGCTAGGTTTAGCAATCAATAAAAATATTAGCTTTGATACACATTTTAAAGAAGCCCACTATTGTTACCCCTAAAGAATGTAGAGGTTACTGTTTTATTTACTGTAGAGGTTTCCTTTTATTGGTTCTTTTAAGAACATATTAAATGCATGTAAAATGTAAGGATTGAGGCCCTCCCTAGTGACACAGGCATTAAGTCTCAGTGCTATCAGGTTATTGCCTGCCACTTGCAGCATGAGTTCAATTGCCAGCCATGGCACTAAACTACATGGTGCGGCAGACCTCTCCTGTCTGACTTGCTGCTCCCGTATTTCAGAGATCTGCCTGTTCTGTTCCCCGCTCTGTCTTGGTGAGTCTTGCCACCCGCACCTCTGGCCTGTACCCCAGTTCTTGTATGGATAAATAAAAATAAATCTTAAAAAAATTTTATAGCTTGGTAACAGAATTTAAGATCAAAGGCTCAAACACTTCAGACCCTTTTTTAAGTGTTTGTAGAACTTGATATTATATTGGGACAATACCAGGTGCTAATTTTGTAATATTGTATAGAAGTGGGAACAAGTAATCTGACTACACTATCCTCTTTAGTAATTATTATAGTGAGAGAAAATGGCTCAGTTCTATTAGGTGTTTAATGAATGCTGCATAATATGATGGAAAGGATCTGACATTTTAATTGAAAAGATTCAGATTTGACTATGCTCTCTTTCTGTAGTGTCAATCATCTGTTATTTCATAGTTAAACTTCTTCAGAGACAAAACTGATAAATACTCCTTAGGTTTCGTGTAGAACTCAATTATATAAAATAATGTAAAGTTTTTCTTTAGTAGGTTGCACTAAATGTGGTAAGAAGCTCTTTGGAACATGGAGGATAAGTGGTCTTTTTGAAAAACTGTACAAGATGATAGTCAAGAGCAGGATAAAATTCTAGAACAGAAATAAGAAACCTAGATAATGTAATTTAAAATTTTCATAGCTGCTTTGAAAAGTAAAAGCGAAGGTGTCAAATAAACTTCAGCTGTATATATTATCTAACACAATATATGTAAAGTATTATTTTAGCATAAGGTCGGTATAAAAATTTGTTGATTAGATAGTTAAAATATATGCCAGAGCTACTGTGCTAATGAGAAGGGAAATAGAATTATTTTCTTTGTCTGGCCTCTTTCAATATCAGTTATTTTTTCTACCTTAAACAGTTGGTAGTTTATTCTTTTCCTGTACTCTTGGAATTCATTGTCTGCCTCTCTGGGGTAGTGACAGTGTCTGACTGGAGAGGCACCAGTTTCCATGAGTGTTCTAGATAAGGTGACGTGCTGTAGAAGGTTTGAGAGCAGTCGGCCTTCTTGATTTTTGCTCTCCGGAGTTGGAGAACACGGCTTGAGAGGTGTGACACAGAAGATAGCCTGTTAAACCCTGAAGGTAAGAGCATGCTGACAGGCAAGCTAGTACTCACTGAGGACACTGCCTCCTCTGTGTGGGAAGATGCTTGTTCTTCACAGCAGTCCATTGCTCTTTATGTCTATGATGGAAGGAAGATAATTTGTTCAAAGTCAGCTGTATTTAGAGAAAGTAGAATGTGAATGTAGGAAACTTAGTTTTTCAGATGCAGGTGTCAGCATTTCTATCAGAGAGGAAAGCAGAGGCCTTGACAGGCTCGGCTTGTCTGTCACAGAGCTATTTACTGCAGCAAGTTGAAAGCTGGGACATAGTTCTGAGACTCACAGAAAGAGTCCTCGATGTTCAAGTCTCATCATTACGTTGCTGAGGTTGGCGTGAGAGAGAACTGGGTTCTGAGTAGACTAAGTTATATCCTTTGCTTTTCAGATCTGGGCTGCAAATGCTGGTGTCACGGCCAGTCCTCCTACCGACCTCATCTGGAAGAACCAGAACTCCTGGGGCACTGGCGAAGATGTGAAGGTTATATTGAAAAATTCTCAGGGAGAGGTATGATGTTCTATCAACAGCTCTAAATATCAGCTTCACCTGAAAGTTCATCATGCTAGTAGTTTTCTTTTCAGAAATTAGATGGAAATGTAAACTAAATTACTTAAATATGACCACGGTTGTTGAGTAAAAGTGAAAAGCTGCCTTTAGATTTTAGGAATGAAGCACTATTATCTTGTAGAGCACTGATTATCTGCAGACTCCAGAGTCGCACTCTGTTCAGTTTTGTCTCCATAGCATACTGACTGGCTTCGTGACTGGTTTTTAGTTTTCTCGTTTTAAAATGTAGATAACAAGATTATATATGAGGCAGTCCTTGTGGAATGTTTGGAACAATATCTGATCTCTAGTAAATGCTTGTTATTTATTAATCTTGTGCTTGTGAAATTCTTGAGATAGAAGACTGTGGAGCGTACATCTCTCTAATGTGTTTGTTTTCAGTTGTCAGTCCTAGAACTCCTGTTAAAGAACCTAATGTACACCCACAATCAGAAATGAGTGTCTGCAAGGGAGAGGGGAGCAGTTCCCACTGCAGTAACCCCTTGGGTGTCCTCCAGTGCCAAGTGCAGCCTCTTATCCTCCGAGTGTGGTCGTCCTCTCTCACAGTAACGAGCACATTCAGAGCGAGGACCTCTGCTGATTTATTCTGGCAGCATGCCTGGCACCTAATAAGCTTTTAGTAAGAATTTATTAGCTAAATTAAAAAAAAAAAAATCAAGCATGCACTTTCACTTAAATTCAGGGAAATAGGAATTAACAGCAGTCATTATGGGACTTCATAGTGTTTGCACAGAAGGTCTGTGCTAGCCTGCAAGCCAACTTCACATTCATCCCCCTTGTAAATGCCTGCTGGCTTACACTGCTCTTCCTAAGGAATCATTGTTTACTAAATGAGGAGTGTCTTTGATCTCAGGCTGAGATTGATAGAGAAATAATTTTTTAACTGAATATTTCAGTGTGATCGTGTTAGGTTTTTGGGTACATCTGGGGAATTTACCCCTGAATACTCTGTAGGTTTTTAGGCAGGGGAGTATATACTATGCTGCCAATCTTTCACACACTTCAGGGTGTTAGATCTTCTTGCTGGCCTCTGGAAAGCCCGTATTTGCTTTCCTGCCATAGCCATCTTGGAATTGTCCCAGATGCAGTCACCCAAGTACTAGAATTTTTAGAGCTCCTGCAGTGGGAATCCCTCTTGATATAAAAGTTGGCAGGGTCCAAGTCTTTTTCAAAACACTGTTACCAGTGGTGATCTGCTCAGATTGAAACAGATGAAATAGGCTTTTGTGAGCTATGGAATTTAGTTGACATGCATTACAGTTACTTTCTGTGTGTAAATTTATCTCAAATTCTAAAATTTTACAGGAGGATATTTGGAAAGCAGAAGGTTTAAAAGCCCACAAAATGGGTAAAGTGACAAAGTGAATAAGAAGCAAAGTAAATGCTGGGACTTGGGCCTTGAGAGATGGTGTTACAGTGAAGCTCAGACTTCCCCTTCATAGATCAGAACACTAAATATTAGCTTACCTGGTTGGTTGGTTTTGTCCTTGTTATAGATTTCTGTTGGAAAATATCATGAATACAATTTTAATTTCTGGTGGTAAGGCAAGTAGTGATTACTCATTTCATTGTGTAAGACCCATTTTTAATCTGTAGGTCCCAGACCACATTTGCAACAATCTGTAATTAGTACCATCAAGGCTACTTCTGTGAGATTGTGGGTAATTAGCTTAAATTAATTAATTATTTTTTTTAGTTCTTGCTGAGGCATCAGTAATGTCAGAAAATCCAGTATTAGCTGCCTGTAAAATAATGTGAATGTATGGCTTCATGTAACCGACAACCTAAAGATCATAGACTTGATCCATTGGTTCAGTCTCCCCAGGGATGTTTCTGTTGTCCTTTCATGGTACAGGTTAATTGTCAACTGCTCTTAGAGATTATCGTGCCAGGTAGAATTCTTACAGGAAAGAGCATCTTCCCCTGTGAGATCTCCATCCAGGCCTTTACTCTTTCAGTATCAACTTGGGTCGCAGCTTCCAGTTCCCAGAGGATGGAGTTAAGAGTTTGAGCCTTCTTCTCTGCTCACAGCTAGATCATGTGTGGCTCCTGTGTGACACACACAGGCCACCTCTCCCCGGGAGAGGTGGGTGTCCAGATCAGACAGAGGCTCTTACTGAAAAACGAGGAAGGGGATGTTGAGTGGTAGGAAAATAGTACCTGTCGTCATGGTAGAATAAAATATTTTCTATGAGAGAAATAAATAAAAAAAGCAGACTGTGTACCTTCTAGAATATAGGCATGACGGAAACTTGTGATTGCGATGGCTGTTACATATATTTCTCAGATCTGTAACATTTGCTCACATCTGTTGTGTATAAGCTCCCACTGTGGTCATTTTGGGTGGCCAGCATGTGGAGGGGCTATTTGTGTGCGTAAACATAAACCCATTTCACAGAACATGGCTGACGGAGAGACTGAAAATGGTCTGGCTTTCATGACTCTGCAACAGTGATCATATCTCCTCACAAAATACTACTTTACTGCTTATAGAAGTCTTATTTCTATAACACGGGGTTGGTTTTTTTGTTTTATTTTGTTTTTGTCCCGTTGCTGGTGTGTGTTAACTTTCAGACAGTGCTCTCACCAGCTTATTTTTGATGTCTTTGGGGAGTTCTTTCTTGGGTGACCTTAGGCCATGGTGCAGCTGCCCTGCTGCGTCCCCGAGGACTGCTGGCTGCTGCAGATTGCCCGCTTAGCCTCATGCTTATGCAGAGTCACCTATTTCAGTCTTTTGATACAAAATGAAAACGGTTACTTTGTTTTACCTCCAGTGAATGAGAGCAGGTATTATTTCTAGTGCTGGATACACTAGAATATGCAGTGTTTTATTAATAAATATTGCTCCTTGGTCTCTGTCAAGAAGAACCAGTTGCTGAAGGAGTAAAACGAGCTTGCCCTTGGCATCTCACTCAGGTGCTCCTGCCACCACATTCCCTGAGATCATAGCAATTGACCGCCAGCTTTATTTTACTCATCATTTTCTTTCAGCACCTTTTTGTGAAGGACCTAGACCCATTAGCTGAATTCATGTTGAATGGTATGGAGAATTTAGTGCCTCAAATAATTTACAGAATTCTTAGTTAACAGAATGGGAATAAAAGCAGTGGAAACCTCTCAGCAGGTATTTCAAATTGGAAGGTAGTAGCTTCCCTGCAGGGAATACTGAAGATACAAGAACTGCTACTAATTATGCAAAAATTCTGTTCAGTAGCAAAAGCTACTGATTTACCACATAAAAGAATGTTCCTGGTCCTCCCTGGTGGCTCAAGAGGTTAAGACACAGCAATACCATGAAGCTGTCAGTAGCCACTACAGCATGGGCTTGAACCCCAGCCAGGGAGATGACCCACATGGCACAGCAGACCTCTCCTGTTTCACTTGCTGCTCCCTTCAGCAGTGTATTCAGTCAGTCTGCCTGTTTACTTCCCACTCTCTCTGGTGAATCCTCTTCCCACTCCTACCTCCCCCAACCTCTGGCCTACTCCCTTCCCATAGCCCTTGGATTTTAAATAAGTTTTAATTTTCATTAATTAGCGTTCTTTATCTTTAGGAAGTTGCGCAGAGATGTACAGTCTTTAAGACAACCATACCTGAAGAGGAAGAAGAGGAGGAAGAAGCAGCTGAGTTGGCTGTTGAGGAAGAAATTTTCCACCAGCAGGTATTACTTAATATTATACTTTTTTCAATTTAACAGAATTACACTGAAAACACAAAAATAGTAGTGGAGTTGCTTCCCTACTTGCTAGATTAGGCGAGTGATCTATCAAGTGGCGTTTGTTCTTTGTAATGGTCATTTACGATAGCAGATTGGGGTGCTGGAAAAAATAGTATTAGCACTGTTCCCCTAAACTTCCTTATATCAAATTTCAACTTTGTCATTTTATAATGCACATAATATATATTATTTTAGGGCCATGTATATTACTTAAAATATGAATGTGCTTTTGTATGCATGCTGAATATTATTTACCAAAGGGTATAGGTGTGTGTGTGTGTGTGTGTGTATATATGTGTGTGTGTGTGTGTGTGTGTGTGTGTGTATGTATATATATATATATTATATAGGAAAAGTTAAATCATATTATATTAGAAGCAAGCATTTGCATGTAAACAAATACTCAACTTAAGACACAGTTTTGCCATATTAAGTTCTTGATCATCTAATTGCAAGATTTTAGTTGATCCTTGTGCTTTTGAGAGCCCTTGAAATAAAGAAACTCCAAATGTGATTTTGATTTATTAAATTGTAATTATTAGTAACTAATGAATCTTGGGCTTATGTGCTCAAGCTGAATCTGATCATTAATCAAAATTCCTATCCCTATCAGGCTTCTTTGTGAGTCCAGATTTATAATCTCAATTTTCTCCCTAATTAGTCCAGTCCTACTCCAAATAAACCTTTTCTTGTATGTTTAGTTCTTGCGGTTGAGAACTGCTTCACATGGGCTGTACGAGGCAGAATGAGTTTTTGACTTGGTTATCTCCTCAGGCGCTTTGAATTATTTAAAAACAGATGCTTGAGACTTGGCATTAACAAGAAACAAGCACAAGAGTTATTTCCTGTCCTTAGCGAGAAGCATTAAAAAGACTGGCTCACTGTAACAGTATAAGAGATGTCAGTGTGCCAGACAAGTGGCTTGGAGCCTGAGTTACAGTACACCAGATGCTGGAGAAGGCTTTCCAGACAACATAGTTGAGAAGATCTCACAGAAATATGCTTGCCCAGTACTTGAAGAGGTGGTGATTATTTAAGGATATTTAAGGAGATTTGAATACGTGTTGCTACACTAACATCAACATCCAGATTCAGTGACTTAAAACTGATTTCTTACATTCTATGATCTGTGATTTGACTGGGCTCAGTTCTTTTGCGCCACAGAGTGGAGAATGCAGTCAGTCAAGAAGTTGCATTTAGCTGGGAGCTTGGGACTGGTGTATCTCCAAGTCTTTTTATCCATGTAGTTTCTCATTCATTAGTCGGCCCTCAGCTGACTTCTGAGAGGATGGGGAAAAAAGCAGTGAGTATGTCTGTAGCACACCTCATTGGATTGTAGAGTATGTGTGATAGAGAAATCAAATCCAAGGTTAGTGTTAAATTAACATAGTCTGGGATGCCTGACTAGTAGATTGTGCATGCTGGAGCAAGGAAAGATTGAGAGACATGAGGGACTGATAGAGGGCAAACTGCAGAGACACTGAAAGACTATTTAAATGGAGATTCATTGTGATTGAATTTGAAGGAGAGAAAGGAAAAAAAGTCAGAAGTGTGAGGTTTTTAGCTTTTGTGATGAGAAAATAATGCTGCCAAAGTTCAAAAGAGGGACCATAGAAAGGTAGTTCAGCTGTTTGACTTCAGATTAGAAATTAATCCAACAGCCTTTTGTGTTCATGAGGAGGCTTTTGAGTGATCTTCAAGAAACTAATTCAAGAAACTATTTCCCAACCCATATTGTAAGGAATTAATTTAAGGAATTAATGCGTGATAAACAACTGGGATCAGCTCTCCTGGTCCCTCCTCATTCCCTGAAAATGTATGCATGCCTATGCCAAATTCATCTCCACCCCATTCTTGGTCAGGAGCTCCCCTCAGCTGCTGAGTGCTGTGGTGCTGAAACAACCAGAGACACTGACAGATTACACTTGGCCTCTTGGACATCTGCTGAACTCTACTTATTCCCAGCGGTAGCTCCCCAACCAGCGCATTTCAAGGGACACAGACATAGCAGCTAGGTGCTCTGAGCCTGAGACGAGGAGCCTCATCATGGGTTAAGCCAGGATCCCTCCTCTGAAACAATAGCTCTGCTTGCCCTTCTGGGCTTTGCCATCTCAGAGGCCTTGGGTCTCTTCTGCCTGATGGTCGCCTTTCTCTCTGCCATGTGAAGGAGTCATTTCCACCTTCCATAATTATTTTTCCCATAATTTTATCTCATCTGCCTGGTACCTATTTCTGTATCTTCCCAGGTAGCCTGTGGAAAGTTGGCTCAGGGTTTGGCAAGGAAGACAGGTACTGTATTAATAAGGAAAAATAAAGAACTGGATGGAGGGAACAGGCACTTTTACTTAATTTGAGGATGTAGAAGTTGGGGGTATCCAGCTAACTGTTGTGTTATTCAGAACTGAGCCCACTGATCTCCTCTTTTCTCAGTTATAAAAGGAAGTTACTGGACAAGTTTTCAACTTCATCTACAAGACTAGAATTATTTAGGGGTCTTTGTAATTAGATAGGTATTTTTCCCCAGTTAAGTGAGATATTCTCATTTAATTGGTTTACAGAACTAGATCAGAAAAGCTTTTTTTTAAAAGATTTATTTATTTATTCATACTTAACTGGGGTACAGGCCAGAGATGAGGAGGGTAAGAAGACCCACCGGAGACAGAATTGGGAGCAGAACAGGCTGACTGATGAACATTGCTGAGGAGCACATCGGGTGGGTCAGGAGAGGTCTGCCGCGCCATGTGGATCTCCTCAGAGGATCGAATTCATGCAGAAGTGGCTTAAGCTTCTTAGTGCTGTGCTTTAACTTGCTGCGCCACCAGGGAGGGCCCAGAAAGGCTTTTTTAAAATTACTTAGGATCTGAAAGTTCATCCAGATTTGAATATTATTGTGCTGGAATTTGTTGGGACTATTTCAGGGAAGAAGTTTGTGAAACAATGTAAAATGAAAAAGTATGATATGATATGGGTCCATTTAAAGTCAGGTAATCCAGATCTGTGGGATCTCTGTTGACTTATTTTAAAGTACTATGATTCATTTTCTTAGAACTGATTTTTTTTTAATCTTTGTTTTTTTCCTCACCAGGGAACTCCAAGAGCATCTAATAGAAGCTGTGCAATTATGTAAACTTCTCAAATCAACTGTCTTCCTCAGAGTAAAGACATATGGTAATCCTTACCTACATACAGTGCAGAGCCTTCTCAGAAGCACAGAATATTTTTATATTTCCTTTATGTGAATTTTTAAGCTGCGAATTGATGGCCTTAATTTCCTTTTTTGACACTGAAATGTTTTGTAAAAGAAATCATATCCATACACTTTGTTGCAAGATGTGAATTATTGACACTGAACTAACTGTACTGTTTGGAAAGGGTCCCTCAAATTTTTGACATTTTTTGTATTCTATGTGGGTTTTTTTTTTGTTTTTTGTTTTTTTTTGTTTTTAAGTTCTTGTGAGAAGGGGAGGGAAGGGTAATAAACCACTGTGTATCTGGGTATAATATGAAGATTGCTTTATCTAGTTTAGCAATCTGCTCTTGATTATTCTCTGCTATCTATAACGGTGCTGTGAGGGCGGGGAAAAGCATTTTTCAACATATTGAACTTTTGTACTGAATTTTTTTGTAATAAACAATCAAGGCTACAACTTTTTTTTTTTTTTTAAATAGAAAAGAGAAATTTTGTAAGAAGGCAATATTAACCTAATCATCATGTAAGCAACTCTGGATGAAGGATTCCGCAAAACTTTGTTTTATGGTTACTTAGATAATTCATGAGGGGAAGTGGGAGGGAAGGGCAGCTCTTAAAACGCATTAGTTGTGTTTTTTAAGATAGTGTAACTTGCTTAAATTTCTTATGTGACATTAACAAAATAAAGCTGTTTTAATATTAATTTACTGTCTTGACTTGAAAAACATTTGCTGGGAGGGAAGTATTTCAGTTTTGTCTTTTATAAAAAAATTGACTCATTTAACTAGGTTTTTCTTTAAGGCATAAATGGTAATAAACTGCTTGGAGTATTTTACCTCCCTTTCCACTGTTTTCAGTAATAATGGTAATCACAATAAAAACAAGGGTTGACTTCTTTTGAGCCAGCCGTTGTGCTCAGTTTTTTATATTTGTTAGCCTGTTAAGTAAAAGACCTTTCAAAATCTTTTAATAGGAAAGTCACATGGGAACATAGAAACACTGGGGGGAGATGTTGAGGAAGACATTTTTAAAGGTAGAAAATGGAGCTATTTCTGTAGCCTTTTAAAGTATTGAAAACAAATAGATTAAAAGCGCTCCCCCCCTTTTAGATAATACTTCACATGCTAACCCAAAGTACATGTTTGTTTTCTCTTACAATATGCCTGCAGTAAAGTAAGCTGTGCAGACTACTGGCTTTCTCTTAGAAATCACTCAGAGTCCCAGAATTGCTGTGCTCTGCAGATTTACTACATACTCTGGTGCCATCAAAGACAGGATAAATGCTGGGTTAGAAGTTCTGTCTGCTGAAGCAGATAAAATGATAACTTCGCAACACAGATTTATCTTCAGACTGAGAATGGCAAGGCAGTTCCTTGCCAAACTTGGTCATGAAAAATTTTTGCCACAAGATGGGGTTCTTGTCATCAAAATGCACTCTACATACTTTATTGCTATGTAAATTGGGTTATAGAAATAAACACTTGAGCTTTAGTTAGGCATTAAGAAAAATTGGCAATTGTTATATAAAGGAATACTCAAGTGAAACTCAGGACTCAGTAAATGTGCACTTTGATACCTGACGATGTGAGGCAGTGAGGACATATTTAGTTAGACTCTAACCCCAATTTGAGGTTTTCAGAACAAGCTGCACTCAGGGTGCTTCTCCAAGAGTGTTTGAAGCAGAGGGGAATGGAGCCCATGCTGTGTCTGTATTGTCATTATTGCTACATCTGTGGAGGTTAGTTGTTTAAAAACACATTTCTGGATTATTGAGCTGTTGGTGACAAGCATGAGTTTATTCTGCTCCCCTGGTTCTTTTGCCTTAGGATAGTCTTGTTTTACATGCAATTTATTTTTTTTCTCTTGTTAAGCTTCTCTAAGAATATGTTCTTCTCTAAGAGTATTTTCATTTTGCTGACTATTCTCAGCTGTTCTCCCTTTCTGGAATCTCTTTAGGCTTTTATTGATCAAACCCATGCGTCTTTGTATGATTTGGTTTCTTTGGTGCTGTAACCTTTTTGTTTACCTCAGTCCCTGTAATGTTTATCCCGTTCATTGAGTGACTGAATTCATTGATAGTGCTTTTCATTTCTGAAGTGGCCTTTGACTCTTTTTCTTCAAATCTGCCAGTTTTTTCTTCATCTTCCTTTCTCACTAGTTTTCATCTTTTTCGAACATTTTAATTGTAGTTATTTTATACTGTTATTGTCTTAGGAATGGTGTGGTTCCCATGTTTTTTGTTTTTTTTTTTTTAATTTATTCATTTGTGCATACAGAACTGGGATACAGCCAGAGGCTCAGGGGCGGTAAGAAGATTCACCAGAGACAGAGTGGGGAGCAGAACAGGCAGATCTACGAAGTACACTGCTGAGGGGAGCAGTGGGAGGGTCAGGAGAGGTCTGCCGTGCCATTTGGTAACCTCCGGGGCAGGCGGGAATCGAACTCATGGGAAGTGGCTTTAGCTTCTCAATGCTGTGCTTTAACCCGCTGTGCCACCAGGGAGGGCCCCCATGGGGTTTTTTAGGCTTATGAACTCACTTCATTTCAGGTGACTGATTTTCTGAGTGGTCCATGTTTTGGTGATTGAGCTACATAGTTTCATAGTAATTTCCTCTGACAAGCACTCCAGTGATTCACCTTGTGGTGGTGAAAAATCCTCTCCAACACTGGTACCTGGGTGTTATCTGTTTTTCACCCAGTGAATAGTCACTTCCAAGTGCTTAGCAAAGCCTTCACAGGAGTCGGCCTTTGCTTTGGCCTGGCCGGCACGTTCTGATTGGGTGAGATGCAGGGAGTATTCTAAGATTTGGTGCCTTTTATAACACTTCTGCGCTCTGTGCTTTCCTTTAGGGACCCAGTACCTTATTTCCTATTTCCCATTCCCAGCCTTGGGAAGCTTGTATTTCAGACTTTTGTCCTCCTTTACAGCACCTGGTGTTTTATCACTTGTTTATCTGGTGCTATGTTAAAACAAAAATTAAGTCATATTTTACCACAGGAGGAAAAAGGGATTGCCCCTGTCAGTTTAGTCTGCTGTCATACATATTTACATATATGCGTATTTATGGGTGTCTTTTTAAGAGTTAAGATTACCCTAAATCATGTTCCGCTTGGTTTCAATTCCTTTAATCAAATCTTACGTTACAAAGATACTTATTTGAGTGTTCTTTCTTCTACTGGCCAAAACATGTTACAATGAAGAATTGGAACAAATCTTTAAATAATCCATGCTTTTGGAGTATTGGCTTCTAAACTAAAATGCTTATCTTTTAGTTACACTGCATGAGATGGCAACAAGGATGACTTTTATGAAATACCACTGCAGGAGAATTACTGTTAGGTTTTGAACTTTTTGAAGCCTCCTTAGCAAGGTTCTGGCATTTTTACCTGAGAAAAATTCCAACCCCTCACCCTCCATTCAAAAGCCACAGAACGAGGTAGTATTAATAGTATTAAGGGTTGTGTTGTGTATCTGCCATTTGCCTGTCTTTGTAAAGGGACATTCAGAGCCAATTTGTTGGGAACAAAGAAAATAGTGGGGCAAAAGAAATACAGAAATTCACATAAGTCAGACTTTGAGCTGAGGAGAGCGTCACATTAATAGTATTAAATGGGAAGAATAATTAATAGGAACAACGGTGGGAGTGGATGTTGCTTTGCTGCTCTAGAGGGTCAAAGTGAGGGCAGAGCATGATAGAGGTAGACCAGTAGCCAGTTTGCCCTTGGATACAAGCAGCCGACTCAAAGTGAGAAATCGCCTCACTTCCACAATCTTGTATTCTTTTAACAGCACAGTAAATCCTATCTTCTGACATTTCTCCAGAGACAAAATGCACCTCTCAATTTAAGGAGACAGCCTGTTCAGTAGACTAATTACTTTATAACAATAAAACACATATTCACCCAGATTTATTATGTGAGTGCTTCCTCCACCAATCTGAATTAGAATTCTTGGTTTAAATGCCAGCCAAATTTGCTCTTAGAGAAATGTAGCTCTTGTTCCATATCAGTGGTTTTTATACTTCCTTTGGTTTTATATTACTTCAAATGGGCCCATAGATCCTCAGGTTTCCCTGCATTTTGTATGCTGTTTTTGTAAATTTGGTGTTGATTGGATTTGAAATAAGCAAATCCTCACTTGGATGTGAAAGCCTTCCTTTGGATTTACTTGGCTTAGGCTTGTGCACTCTAATCCTTTGCCACCATAAACTTCTCTGGCCTCCTGAATTTCTGCATGTACCCAGCTTTACTTCATACAACTGTACTAGACATTTGTCCTCAGCATTTTGTGACACAATCTGGTAACTTTGCAGACTGTCTGGCTCTGTCTTTTGAATACATTCAGGTATTTCCACCACCCCTTTCCATAAAGCCCTGTGTCTCAAGACGTATGCTAGTGCAAGTGTCTGCTTTGCAGTCATCCTAAAGGGACACACAGGTAGCTCATGCTGAAAAAGGCTCAACTTTGGCAGAAACTCTTTCTAGCTTAGTGCCTGGGAGTGATCTTGCCCCTCTTTCCTTCATTCAAGCCAGGGAGCCTTTTTTCTGACTAGACCTAACAAGCACTAATTTCTGATCTAGAGCCTGGCAGCCAATACATTTTCACTGAAAGCCTGGAATTGTGGCCAGCCTTCTTCACTGCCACCTCTTAATACTTTTTGTCATGCTGCCCTCCAATCAGAATCAAGGGACTAGAACTAAGCTCTTTCGAGTGCCAAAATTTTCCTAAGAACCATTTTGAACGCCTGTTGGACAGTTCTCATTCTGTGTTGTAAAAAAAATTGAGGACCTGGACAGAAAAATAGGCAGCCAAGGGCTCATAAGGAAAAGTAGTGCTTAGATCTACAAATCTGGAAAGGGTACTTCTGTGGAGAGGGAGCCAGCGAGGAATGCTTTGGTTGACTCAGGCTGCCCTCATACCAGAAATTCCTACAGGGCCCTAAAGCAGGGCAGTGAGTTGTGGGGAAAACTTGTTAACCCAATTAAAAGAATCAAACCAGGGACAGGTGGCGGGAATGCACTACAGCTCTGACACTAGGGAGCAGACTATGATGTGTTTTCCTTGGAGAATTTTCATCCTTATGTAGGAGAAAAAAGCACCCCAAGAGCTATACAGAGGAAGGAGGAAGGCAGGCAAAGATGCAAACATCTATCCGCGAATGTTTTGCACACGGCTTGTCTCAAAAGTTCTTTCAAGTTGTGGTACCACCCTGGGTAAGTGGTATCTCCTTCTTTTGTAAGTCTGGTAACATGCCCCGAGGTGAAGTCATTTATTGACTGAATCATTCCTTCAGTAGCCATTGGCCAGGGGATTTAGTTTTGCCAGCAAGACACTAGGAAATCAAGACGAGAGATCTAGTTTCTGGGGATCTCAGTCTGATCACACAGGTCTGTATCTTTGACATCTGTGCCTAGTCTAAGCAGCTGTTAGAAAGTAATTTACACGGCTAGTTTAGAAAAGAAAACTGCTCTTAATTGTCAAAATGAATGGGGACCGTTCTATTGTCAAATAATGCTGAGATCTCTCTTTCAGAGCTCTTGTTTCTGACGTCTTTCAAATTACATGGCAAATGTAATGAATATTATTTGGAAGTTGTGGCTGGGGAAGACATGATCAGATTTGCTGATTGTGCTGATCAGCCCTGGATGATGTGACTTAGGAGCAGGGAAGAAAACCTGCTTCCCGCAGCCCAGGCGCCTG